ACTATACCCTGATAAAAAACATCTTATATCGACCACTACACACATGAATCATCATACAAGGACCACTACACACATGAATCATCATACAAGGACCACTACACACATGAATCATCATACAAGGACCACTACACACATGAATCATCATACAAGGACCACTACACACATGAATCATCATACAAGGACCACTACACACATGAATCTTGAAAGAGTGTAGGGAACAGATTAGCGGACCCCTCGTAAATTTATTTACAAAATCATTAGACACAGGAGTTGTGCCAGACATGTCGAAACAGGCAAATGTAGTACCCATATTCTGAAAGGGAGACAGAGCATCAGCGTCTAATTACCGGCCGATTAGTTTGACGTCAGTGGTGGGGAAATTTCTTGAATCAATTATAGCAGTTAGCCTCCGATCGCATTTAGAGAAAAGAAAATTAATCTACGACTCTCAACATGGGTTTACAAAGGGAAAATCTTGTCTAACACACCTGCTCACGTTTTTTAGGAAAGTCTTCGAGGTAGTAGATAATGACGAAAATTACGATGTTATTTACTTAGACTTTAGCAAAGCGTTTGACAGAGTACCGCATCAGAGGCTTCTGAGAAAAATTAAGGCTCATGGTATCGAGGGGAAAGTTTTAAATTGGATAAAATCATGGCTCACCGATAGAACGCAGAGGGTCAGCGTAGATGGTGTTAAATCTGAGTGGGGCCGTGTAACCAGTGGGGTTCCCCAGGGGTCAGTACTAGGCCCAGTCTTGTTCATAATCTACATAAACGATCTAGATACTGGGATCAGCAGTGACATAAGCAAGTTTGCGGATGACACCAAAATAGGGCGGCAGATTAATTCAGGGCAGGATGCAAATGCATTACAGGAGGATCGAAATAAACTGCAGGGGTGGTCTGAAAAATGGCAAATGAAATTCAACACCAGCAAGTGCAGCGTACTCAATATTGGAAGAACAAGTACTGACAATGTATACAGCCTTAACAACATCAACCTAAAGAAGTCGACTTGTGAAAGAGACCTAGGGGTACTTGTAAGCCCGGACCTACGGCCTAGAAAACAGTGCGTTAATGTTCGAAATAAGGCAAACAGAGTATGGGTTTTATATCTAGAAGTGTAAGTAATAAGAGTGCACTGGTCTTATTACAACTATATCTTGTGCGGGTCAGGCCGCACCTCGATTATGCGGTTCAGTTCTGGTGCCCTTATTATAGAATAGATATCAATTCACTAGAGTCGGTGCAGCGAAGAATGACGAAAATAATTCCAGGACTTAGAAACCTTCCATATCAGGATAGGTTAAAGAAACTAAATTGCATGGGCCACTACACACATGAATCATCATACATGGACCACTACACACATGAATCATCATACATGGACCAATACACACATGAATCATCATACATGGACCGCTACACACATAGACCACTACACGCATGATTCATCATGCATGGACCACTACACACATGGATCATCATACATGGACCAATACACACATGAATCATCGTGCATGAACCAATACACACATGAATCATCATACAAGCACCACTACACACATGAATCGTCATACAAAGACCACTACACACATGAATCATCAAACATGGACCAGTACACACATGAATCATTATACATGGACCGCTACACATAGACCACTACACGCATGAATCATCATGCATGGACCACTACACACATGAATCATCATACATGGACCAATACACACATGAATCATCGTGCATGAACCAATACACACATGAATCATCATACAAGGACCACTACACACATGAATCATCATACATGGACCACTACACACATGAATCATCAGACATAGACCACTCCACTACACACATGAATCATCATACATGGACCACTACACACATGGACCACTACACACATGAATCATCATACATGGACCACTACACACATGAATCATCATACATTTACCACTACACACATGAATCATCATACATGGATTACACATGGATCAATACACACATGAATCATCATACATGGACCAATACAACACATGAATCATCATACATGGACCAATACACACCATGATCATCATACCTGGACCAATACACACATGAATCATCATAGATGGACCACTACACACATGAATCATCATACATGGACCACTACACACATGAATCATCATACATGGACCAATACACACACATGAATCATCATAGAAGGACCACTACTCACATGAATCATCACAGGGACCACTACACACATGAATCATCATACATGGACCACTACACACATGAATCATCATACATGGACCACCACACACATGAATCATCATACATGGACCAATACACACATGGATTATCATACAAGGACCACTACACACATGAATCATCATACATGGACCAATACATACATGAATGATCATGCAAGGACCATTAAACATATGAATCATCATACATTGACCAATACACACATGAATCATCATACATGGACCAATACACACATGAATCATCATACAAGGACCAATACACACACATGAATCATCATACATGGACCACTACACACATGAATCATCAGACATAGACCACTACACGCATGAATCATCATGCATGGACCACTACACACATGAATCATCATACATGGACCAATACACACATGAATCATCGTGCATGAACCAAAACACACATGAATCATCATACAAGGACCACTACACACATGAATCGTCATACAAAGACCACTACACACATGCATCATCACACATGGGCCACTAGACACATGAATCACCAGACATGGATCACTACACACACATGCATCATCATACGTGGACCAATGCATACATGAATCATCATGCATGGACCACTACACACATGAATCATCATACTTGAACCAATACACACATGAATAATCATGCATGGACCACTACACACATGAATCATCATACATGGACCAATACACACATGAATCATCGTGCATGAATCAATACAACCAGGAATCATCATACAAGGACCACTACACACATGAATCGTCATACAAAGACCACCACACACATGAATCATCATACATAGACCAATACACACATGAATCATCATACATGGACCGCTACACATAGACCACTACACGCATGAATCATCATGCATGGACCACTACACACATAAATCATCATACATGGACCAATACACACATAAATCATCTTGCATGAACCAATACATACATGAATCATCATACATGGACCACTACACACA